ACCCTTGAACAACACAGGGATTGGTGCACTGACTCCTGCGCACTCGAAAACCTACTGTGACTTCTGACTCCCTCCAAAACTTAACTACTAATAGCCTGCTGATGACTACGAGGTTCACTAATACTATGAACAGTCCATTAACACATTCTGTATGTTGTATGAATTATGAGCTGTATTCTTAAAATAAATGTTATTAAGAAAATCACAAGGGAAGTACATTTACATTAGATTATTGAAAAAAATCCACATATAAGTGAGCCTGGGTAAGGCAAAGGTCAACTGTCATAAAAACAGGAGGAAAACAGTGAAGTGTTTTAATTAGCTGAAATGTAATCGACAAAGAACCATTTCAAAACATCCTTTTAACAGGTGCGGATATCAGAGATGCTAGCTAAAGCAAAAAGTTATTAACACCACTAATTTATGCTGCTTTTGTTCCCCTCTGAGAGTTATAGTTAAAACCTGAGGATAAACTACTCAGATACGGCGTGAGTTAAACCGTAATGTGCACTCACCGATTCTGAAAGGGCCAAGACTGAGACACACAGGTGTGCGTCCTTAGCATCTTCATCCGCTTTCTCCACCCACTACGCTACAGTCTCCACCCACTACGCTACAGTCTCCACCCACTACGCTACAGTCTCCACCCACTATGCTACCATTTCCCATTTCGCTCTTACTGAAAGTATTGTATCTATAGCCTTATTCTTTCAGGTTAATGCTTGCTCCTGGCTAAACAGAAATATTTCTGAACAGGGCCCTATCTCAGATATTATGATTCATTTACACTCTAACTTGAAGGAAACTGATTATTCTAATCACATCAACAAATGAGGATTATGAATGTTTGGAATTAGAAAAAAAAGAAGTAAATGGGGTACAGAGATTAGAGGTTCTGGATAACAAAGCCAGACTTTGCCTATTTAAAAAATATTGTTGTTTTGCCTAGGGTAAGAGTTAATTATAATAATTTGCTCTAATCATGAGCCTGTACCTCTCTTTTCCCAAATGCTTATTTCATAATTATGTTTGTCAAGTTGTTAAGGGTAATGACCCTATTATACCATCAGGGGTAAAAAAAAAAAGAAAAAGAAAAACAGGTCAAAATAAAACAGATGTTCTATGAATTACTGGGAGTTGGCTTTGTCAGAATTACTGGGCACATGGCTTCTGACTCGGACAAAATCTCTACAACTGAACTAAGAAAAGGGCAGAGCTGGTCTGCGGGCCTGTCTGTGGCCATTTCTTCAAATTATCTGAAATTCACTGATGCTGGGCTGATAAACAGGAATCACGTGAATCCATGAAAGTGGCTGAAGTGACTGATTCTAGCACAGATCGGCAGCCTCATTAGATAAATCTATATAAATCGAGGTAACCTCAGCTTGCTGCTGTAGCCAGCAAGCAATGTTCTTTTTTATTTAAAGATAAGTATGTGAATATTTGTTGCGGGGCAGGAGATGCAATTCCAACTAACAACTTCTGCATTTCAAACCAAAGGAAACATTTCTTAAACTGAAGCTTTAATAACAGCTCATTTAGAAAAACCAGCAGACAGTAAAATGCATATTATATTAGCCAAACATTTATTAGCACATTAACTTTTATGCCATGTAAATATAATAACATCAATAAAGCACCAAATTAAAAATTCAAACTATAATGATTATTGCCTGTGACATGACCATGACCCTGAATGGGAAAGGAGAGGTTCAGATGGAGAAATTCACCCTGCACACTGGCCTCTTGTTTTAAGGGATGGCCCAGGACAAGGCAGTTACATCTTTCTCCAGTGTCAGTTTTCCTTAGCATTCTCCTTTCTCATCTTCCTCCTCCTCTTCTCTGGCACTCTCGTGGTGGCCACTGAATAAGAGGCCAGCCTTTGGCCCCCTCCTAAACCATGTTTTGTGTGTGTGTGTGTGTGTGTGTCTAGTCGGAAAAACAAAAGTGAACTGTTTGCCCAGGTCCCTTAAAATGTGTTACCACTACTGTGCACAAATCTTTTAGGTCATCACCTCTCTACCTTCAAACATTCTTCTCAATCTAACTCTCTCAGGGGAGTTCAGCAAGGGCAGGAGATAGATCCGCTGATGTCTTTCAAAATCATCTCATCTCAATCATGCCAAGCTGTTGTTTCAGCTTTTTATTAGTTAATGCATTAGTTTATTGATCATGGTATCTTAGAATGGTTTTTTTTGGGTTTGTGTGACAGCTTATGAGTTAATAGAAAACATCAGGATCTAAAGACACACAGAAGGAAAGGAAAGAGAGATTAATAATGACACAGAGATGTGCATGAAAGGACATAAGAGCAGAAAGACATGTCACGATTGTGTACATTGAAAGGTAACTTTGGGTGGACCTAGGCCCAGTTTTTATTTTTTAATTCTCTAGGAAGGATTACATACTTATTTGTGCCAGAGCAAAACTTTTTGCCATATATTATTGTAAGTTTTGAAGTAGATCTACATGGAAGAGGTCTCTGAGAAACAATCTTTCTGCTTTGATGCTAGTCCCACCGCACCTTCCAGCGTTGGCACACACACACGCAGGTGAAGGATGGCTGATGAACTACTGACGGGTCCTAGCATTCGAGGGCTTCCCAGGTGACAGCTCAGTACTCTTTACTAATCGTTTAATGAAAACACTTCCATGAATAACGAATCTGGTACTTCCCTAGGTGTTACACATGCGACTTTTGTAACAGTAATAAAGGCAGGCATACGCACACATATACAAAATATTGTCGCTTGAAAATGTCTCCACTGAGCAAATCAGGAGGGTTATGTTGAAGAAGAATATCTGGTTTCTGAGGTTATTAAATGTTTCACAATAATACTCATTATTATATTATAAGAACATTAATACTGGAAGCATAAAATGGTTATGTTTAAGAAATTAATACAATTCCTTGCTATATATATAAGCCCCGATTGGAGTAAGCATAATTTAGATTTGAGTAATCACAGTCCCAAAATTGAAAGTTTTAATTAAAAGAAACACACATGTCTATAAACATGTATACACAGAGATCTATACATATATATACATATATGTATGCAGGACAACAATGTGATTAAACCATCTATGAAATTTATTACTCATCTCAGAACTGAAACCTGACATCACTTAGTCTAATTTTGCAGATGAGATCATGGAATCTCCGACATTAGGATTCAGCCCACACAAACCTGGGACCACTGTGCTGGTCCCTGAACTAGTGACGAGGTAACCTGGCATACCACCACTGCAAGCCCACCTCCAGTAACCCCTTCGACTTAGTGCCCATCCTGGTTCGTGCTGACATTTGCTTTGGATAAACTAGGTTACTGTAACCAGTTATTAAAATAAATTTGAGCCCTGGCTGGTATAGCTCAGTGGATTGAGTGTGTGCCTGCAAACCAGAAGATTGCAGTTCGATTCCCAGTTAGGGCACATGTCTGGGTTGCAGGCCAGTTCCCAGAAGGGGATGCACGAGAGGCAACCATACATTGATATTTCTCTCCCTCTCTCCTTCCCTTCCCCTCTAAAGATAAATAAAATCTTTAAATAAATTTGAAGAAAATGCTTTTATAAATGTTCAAGCAGAAGGATATTATGGAAAGAGACATTACAGGATCTTTTAGAAGATTCGCTTTTGGAGTCAGAAGTCTAAAACTTTGTCTTGTTAGCATTTACTATGTGACTCTGGACAAGTCATTTAACTTCTCTGGTCCTCTTCACTTGTACAATCAGAATAATGGTACATCCAACACTTGTTTATTTCCTAGTTGTCACGTGCTTACACCACACACTATTACTACCATTACCACGACACATTATAACACCACTTCTACCATTAATCACAGCTTACTATGGGCTCAAACTCTGAGATTTGCTTTTTATACCTTGTAACTGTATCACAGCTTTTCAACAGTCCTGTAAACTAAGTGTTCTGATTTTCTCACTACAGATAAAGAAACATCTGAGTTGTTAAGTAAGTTGCCAAAATTACACAGATATTAAGAGCCTGAACGTGACTTGGGATCCAGATATGATGCTTAATTTCATTTTTGACCTACATCTTGGTTTCCTTTAATATATCATATATATTTGTATATACACATGTACATATATAATGTAAATAATCTATATTGCATAGAGATACATTACTCATTTTATGCACTCACATATATGCAAATGTTTTCAATTCTAAGATGGTATACTAATTTTTTTTTCATTTCAAGGTCTAATATGTGGCACACAGTAGGTACTTGGGAAAGAAGGAATTCATATTGAGAAGTAACTGAAATCATTTTGAGTAAACTGTTAATTAGCATGCACGTCAGCAATAACAGTGGCTATTAAGTGCCTCATCTTCTTCAAGATCATGTTATTAAAAATGACTCTAGAGAAACACATATAGACAGACTCGCCATAGGTTCGATTCTAAATACAGAATTGGCAATGGCAAAAAAATAGCTGCTTTCAATAAACAAGGGCTGAAATCTAACCCTATGGTCTGGACAAAAGGAAAGAGAAAGGATCCTCTTAAAATTTATACATAGCTCTGGTTTTTCAAGTGGTAACACATTGTCTCCCAAGTTTGAAATGTCAAAAAAAGCTATACTGTACTTTCCTATCAAAACAAAATAATAATACTTGCTGTACTTATTTCTCTTTACTCTTGTACATGAACAGTAATAATGAGGATGATAATTGGATAGTGACACTCAGAATGAAGAAATGTTTTTTAGAGTTAAGAAGAAGGGGCAGGAGCTACCGGCAAAGATGCACGGAAGTCTCATTTCTAAGCAAAACACAAATTTTCAGCGACGCAGAACGCCCGCAGGCTGTCCCCTCGTCTCCTCCCGAAGAACAGCAGGCTGAATGGAGAGATGCTGACACACATGCCAGCGCAGGGCTAGAATGACAGGTCTGGGGACAGGAGATGCCGCTATTTCCATTATCCACTGAACACCGTGGCAAATCTTATTTCATCCTGAGAATGTGGTACTTACTCTTGAACTGCTCTGGCTATGGAAAGGGCCGTAGATCCAGTTTCATTAACGCTATCTAAGGTCACATTTGGCAGGTCATCATCATCACTGTCACTTTTACTTTGTCTGGGAGATAGGCCTCGGGGGTCCATTTGTGCTGGGAAGAAAAGGCATATATATGAATTAAAATTAGTGCGCAGTAAGTGAACCTCGTCCTGGACCAACATCAAGCATGGAAGGTCTCTTCTGTGTATATCACACACACTGAATTCTCTAGAAATCCCAGGGATTAGTGAAAGCAACGTAATTCATGTACTGAGTACTCGCTGACTCTTTTCCCTTGTTCATTCCATTTCCCAAACCTCCACAAGTCTCAGTGGTTTCAGGGTACAACTGCAGAGTAGAAACTGTAAAACCCAGGACAACATCTGCTCCTGAGGCGTCAGAAGCTGAGCAGGGAGCCCCTAGGTTACTGTTCGACCCTCTGGCTTCTCCTTGTGTCTGCTTCTAGCATCCTGGCCATCTTACTGCCCTTGCTCATAGATAGCTCTTTAAGCTTAAAGAAGAGCAGGCTTCACAAGACTTAAATCAAGTTTTAGGTGTTTTTTCACACTTTAGTGAATGATGATCTTGCAGTTCATTACTGCAATTTGAGAGTAGCAAAAGGACAGAAGTAGTAGTAGCATTTTGCGTATGTGTTTATAAGTACTCTTCAAAAAGGCATTTCCAGATAAAATTCTCTGCCCACTGTGAACTTGTCAAAGCAAGACACGGCCTGATGATGGAGCCCTGCTGACCAGGACCATCGGATCCCTTCAAACAAGAGTCAGGCAGTCAACATTTCATACCTGAACTCGCATTTTTAAAAATTAGATCTCAGTTCCGCCTCCTTCTCTCTACACGCAGCTTTGATAACCCCTGTGTGGGATTTCCACCGTCCTTGACGTCAAGCACAAAACACACACCTTCCAAATAAAAGTCCCGCACTCGCTGCACAACCGTGTGGTTAGAACACGCAGCTTCGGCGCCAGCCACCTCCAGCCAGACCACTGCTCCTCAAACCTGCCCACACAACATTTCTAAAGCCACCACAGATAGTTAAAAAAAAGAAAAAGAAAACAGCAAATCCACTCAGAATCATGGTTACAATGACATCTGAGCACATTTCAATTTTCTTTTTTTCTCCAATAATTTTTTTCTTAGAGCTAACACTTCACCTTTTTTTTTTTTTTTTTTTTTACCCACGAACAGATACATGTTTATGGTTCACCTAACATTTACAGTATGAATAGAAAAACTCTGGCTGGAGAGTTTCCGCATGTTTGTGACGACGCTCGGTTAGGAAGGAATGTGTATCTGTTGAACCTAGTGTTGAACCTGCTGGGTCTGCCACACACGATTCCTGTGAGCATGCACGTACTAGCCTGCAGTGTGAGCCATGAAAGTGCTCGGTAACTGTTGGTTAAATTAAGGAGAAAATAACTCAAATAATCTAAACCAGGTGTCCTCGAACAAGAGAAAATTTTCCCCCAGGAGACACTTGGCCATGTCTGGAGACATTTGGCTTTGTCACAACTTGGGAGGGAGATGTTACTGGCATCTTTCTAAAAAGATGTTTTCATCCTCCCCAAGGACATTTTTTCATGGCTTTTAGAGAGAGAGGAAGAGAGCGAAAGGGACATCCATGAGAGAGATACAGAGACTGGCTACTTCCCTCATGTGCCTGGACCAGAGATCAAACTCTCAACCCAGGCACGCGTCCTGACTGGGAACCAAACCCGCAACCCTTTGGCTCTGGGACAACGCTGCAACCCACTGAGCCACACCGGCCAGGGCTGTCACTGGCATTTCCAGTGATACTCCTAGACATCCCACAACACTCAGGACCGTTGGTCCCCCATGTCCAAGAATTAACTAGTCTAAAATGCCCAGAGTGCCAGGCTGAGAAACTCTGAGCTACATAGTTTAGAGTTTGGATACAGAAAGATGTTACATCTTGTGACTTTCAATTGCATAACTATGTTCTAGTTTCAGTCAGTAGCAAAGAAATTAAATCATATATTAGATTATCCATATTTTCTGGCCCTCAAATAAAACAATTCACCGTCATCTGACTCAGCCCTCAGCAGTTCCTGAAATATAGCATTCACTTCCTCAAATGCCAGAAGTATCAGTGCCGCTCACTGAAGAGTTTTTGAATGTTTTCTTTGTCCTGCATGTGATGGGACAAAAAGACTTTCCATTTGATCTGAAGAGAAGATTTCCTACAAAAGGGATGTCGGAGAAACTCTTTGTGGAAGAAAGGAACAAGTTCCACAACCATCTGATAACAGAGCTACTTCAGCTCAGTCCTTCCAAAGGCACTGAAGGTACCCCATCATTTAAGATTGAACAGCACGTACTGGAAAAGACACTGAACAGCTCACAGCATGTGAGGTAAAGATGCACGCACAGCACTTCCACAGCACAGAACACAGAGATGCTACAGGCATTTCAACCAGGAATTCCCAGACAGTTTGGGGCAATCTGTTCTAGAATGATTCAGCGAACAATCAGTCAAAACTACTCAACTTCAGCCAAGAAAATGAGTAACAGATCCATCGAGGCTTCCAAATTACATATTGTGTGGTATTACGTTGCCTGTAAATGTCAACAATTTAAAGTTGTTGAAACATGATGCACTAAGACTCCTTTGCCAAGATGCCAAAATCAACAAACAGCTGAAGATAAGGGAATAATTTTGGTGATCCCATCAGGTCCAAGACAACTAGAGTTCTCACGGGTAAGTGATACAACTCAAGGACGATGTGGGCAAGTAACTACTAAGCAACCTGACTGAAAGTTAAAGTCCGGCCAAGCAAAAGGCTCCAAATAACTGGGGTGAGCGTTGATCATCTAAATTATGTCATGTTTCTATCTCCATGAGAGTTTAAAATATGTTAAGTATGATATTTTTTTTATGTACTTTTCAGGAACATTATAACTGAGGATTTCTTTCCAATATTTTCAATCAATATTATGAAATACATCTGCTGCCATCCTGCTGAGAAAGTCTTTTTACCATACCTTCAGCCAAATTGAGGAAGTAATTAGAAGGATTTTGAAAATCTGCATTGCTGATTAGGTCAGATGATTAGCTTGTCTGCGTACTTGCATAATTCCCCACTCCCTTTGTTAAATGTGGGATGGGGGCATCTTCCCTAGTGAACCCTCATTAGTCTTCGAGTTTCTCAGTTCATTTCGGAAACACCCATTCTCTGGAGAGCCCCTTCAGAGGAAAGGGAACAGTAACCTGGGCACCAGAAGCAAAAAAGCATTACATCCCTGCATGAGAGAGCAGTAGATGATCTGTGTGCATCCATTTACATTTGAGATTTTGTTCCTCTTAAATGAAGACGGGATCCAACAGTTCTGGGTGTGCCCGCTCACTGCTGGCAGAGGTGCCACCCCTGAGTCAGAGGTACCACGGAACACCGTGAGCGTCATTCAATGTGGTAAACTCCCCAGGAAGATAACACAGAACTCCAACACCTGAAGTTGAACCTGTTCACTCTGACTTTCAGACAAGCACCTACAGTACGGTGTTCCTGTAAAGATCACCCCGAGTAATGATGATAGATGATTTATAACACCTCTGCCATCTTTACCACCCTGCCGCCATGTGAAGAAGCCCAGGAAGCCACAGAGCCACAGAGCTCAGGGGACTGATGTAAGCGAGCCACACTAGGCTGACGGGCCACCCGGCAGCCACCCACGCCCATGTAGGTGACTAGCACAGGAATTTCCTAGCTGAACTCATTCCAAATATCTGACTTACAAAACTCTGAGCAGATAAAATAGATGCTATTTGAATCTCCTAAGTTTGGGGGTGACTGGTTATGCAGCAATATATAATCAATGCACCATGTTACTCCTCCAGCTCTCTCCAGAGAAGTCCTGGCAAAGATTCGAACAAACTGCGGCTACAGCCACAGCCAGACCATCGCACAACTTTCTACTCCCCTCCTCAGAGGAAGCCAGGCCCTGCCTGGCATACGTTTAAGTGGGCTACTAATATAGAAAAAGAAAATAAGAGTGCACCACAGCTCTTTTAGCTAGATAGAAGCAACCTAATCTCCTTCCTCTCCCTCCCCCATATATACCCATGAAAAATAAGTTGAAACCCCCCCCAACTCATTTGTTCTAGGTAGGTGGTCGAGCCCCAGTTGATTGCTCCGCGGGCCGGAGCAAAGAGCCACATATTATATTCTACATTATTTCCTTCTCAAACCAAAATATCCAAATGTATTTACAGGGGCTTTGGCTTTAGAAGCATCTTCTTTGATCCTTAACTGTGCCTCTGGTGGGCTTCTACCAAACGGGGCCAGTGGCTGGTATTACTGCTCAGGAGGGCAAAGCTTTCCGGCCCAAGCTCAAGGTTGATAGGGCGCTCACTCCAGTGGATCCTCCCAAAGCTCTATTTCACGTTTGCCTCTTCCACTCACAGAAGACACGCAACCTTGACTTCTCCCCGTGCAACGGTGGGCTGACACCAACACAGTGGCATCATCGTGCCTTCTCCCCACCCCCCTTCCTAGGTACCATCAAAGGATTAAACGCCCTTCTAACCTCCTTAGAAATAAACTGGCCTATTCAGCAATACTTAAAGGAAAAGAAGTTTTTCCATCAGCCATCCTGTTAAAGGTGCCCAAGATAACAATCTATGAACATACTGAAACCCAGAGATTAACTTTTCCTAACCAGGATGAATCACAGAAGAAATTATTCAGTCCCTTTCACCTCCACCCATCAGGGCTGCAGGGCAGAGGAGCAAGCGCAGGTGGATGAACGCGGGGGTGTGAGGCAGCCAGCAGCTGCGGGGTCGGGGTGCCCTCAGCCTGTCCTACCCTCCTTCAGCCACGGACGGCCGCCCACTCCCTGCAGATGCCCTCCTTGTTCGCCCTGCCAAGGCTGAAACACACCCCAGTGAGGAAGCCCTGGCTTCTGGGAGGGCCAATGCTGCTCCAGGAGAAGGAAGGGCGGTGGGAGACGGAGGGAGGGCGGGGGGCATGAACACATGGGAGAGGGGTCCGCGGGGGAGAAGTCACGGCACCCAGGACTCAGAGAGCGCAAGCGTCCTCCTGTCTGGCTCAGCCAGTGCCAGAATCGCTCCAGAAA